TCACCATCTAGCATTTTAACCGTTAGCTGGAGACAGTAATACTTGTTTTGCTTACAACAAGCTGGAGAAACAACTGCCAAGTTGATTAGTTCTAACCAGAACGTGAGGCAAGCAGAGAACTGGTTTGATGCTGCAGAGCAGAGCAAGGACTATTTACACCAAGATAGTGGAGGTGGAGTCTGTGCATAGGATGACGAGCTTAGTGGAATGGTAGCTGATTATTGCTCCATTTTGTATTGGGACTAAGTTTATACATGGTATTATTCTATAATAACTATTTATTCAAAATGTGTACTACTCAAACAATGTTAGTGTTGGGAAGAGTTTAATTAGATCATTAGAGAAGGGTGATTGGACAAAACAGCAGAAGCTTAATGCAGTGAAAAGTGACGGATGAAGCTCCAAGAATTAAGGCCAAACACAGGCTGATATATTAATGAAGAATAGTCTACCAGAGTGCTAATATAAAGTCAGTGGCAGGTTTCTCAAACTGTGGGGCAGGCCCCTCTAACAGGACTTTAAATCATTGCAAATTGGGTTTGGCTGACCAGGAACAGAGTGAAACTCAGTTGAATAGATGAATTTGTGGGGGTAAAATTTCTAAAGATTACAAATAGATTGTTAATGCTTTGGTGATCTTTATTTTACTAAAATTGAACATTTTTATTTTTGATTGGCAAAAATTTTAGCTATTGGGTATGCTGGTTGGGTATCCCAGAAAAATGTTATCTGTAAAATCAGCACATTTACGTCAAAAATATTTGAAACGCTTATGTTTTTACCATTAAATTAAAAAATATAAAATTGTAATCCTAAAAAATGGTAAGACAAAATAACACATTTTGGATTATTTTGGGGTTAAGCTAAATGAAGCCACCAAAAAAGGAGGAGCTGGGGTGGAGGTGGGTTGGTTAAGGCTAAATTTTGTATTTTAAGTAGGCTATATTGGATATGTCAACGATTATCAGATGAGCCATCAGTTGACCTGGACTGCCATTTGATCAACATTAACATCAAATATAATATATAAAATACATAAATAAAAATCAAATCAAGTGGGAATTAGGGTTTGCCATATATACTTGTACATATGATAAACACGATGATTAAAAATGAAATATGAAATATCATATTTATATTTTTCCTTTGGGATGCATGTCGGTGTAAAACAGACGTAACAGGTGCTAAAAAAAATTCACTACTTGATTAGCCTGTAACACCCAACCCATCAAAAAATAGCCTGAAAATTCTTATTTTTTTGGAACTGAGATGTTTATTAACCCTTATAACAAAATTCACAAAAGCTTTATTGCTATATCATGTTGTTAATGATATATTTATTATATATTTTTTGTATCACATTTGATACATTGGGCGTCTTTGGCAAGTTTTTGTTAACAACAATGTTAATTTTAGACAAAAAAAAAAGAGTTTTGTACATAACATTTTGGAATTATGACAAGCATCAATCATGTTGATGAGCTAGAGGTTTCAGAAACTCATGTATCAAATATGATGCAAAAGCATCATAGGGTTAATAATCAAGTGGAGAATATATAATATCATGATGTCCCTCCCCAGTGGTATTATAATCAAGGAAAAAAAATATTTAACACGATTAATGTCTAGGAAAACTTCTCGCTCTATCAGTTATCTCGGTTCAGGGTTTTTCGGCTTTTCCACTGAGAAACATTAAACCTTAGAACATTTAAATGCCTCAATGCTCTCATTATTGTAGCGCTTATGTGAGTAATGGAGAATTTTAAATGTTTAACTGGGCTGCTGGAAAGCCGGAGAAATCAGGCCAAACCACCAACAAGGGATTGTTAGATGCCAGAAACAAATGACAGAAATTAAAATTTAATTCCTCCATAAAGTCGGGCTCTGTGATGATACACTTTCAATCGGCTGTAAACCTTCTGTCCTCCGATATACAAGCGTGATTGTGTCCATATACAAATACAGGCCTTACTCATAAACAACATCAGCCACCAGAATGAGACCTGAATTGTGAACTGTGGAGATCAAAGTGCTTAGCAAAAATATCCAACTTTCCCTAAAAGCACTAATGACTCTTTTAAACACCAGTGCGGTAAACACATCAATCATAAAAGCAGTGGTTATTAATTTAGTCCATTGCTGTGGTTTACACTGCACTGCTTTTGTAATATGTCAAGGCTATAAGTGGAAACGCAGGCCATTTATGATCAGATTTTTTTCCTGATTCATCACTCATTGCCATCACAAAACTTAAACAGTATCCTGTATCTCGACACCAGTTTAAAGCTGAATCGAAAGCACTTCCAAGGCCTCGCTGACATAAACAAACTGCTCCTCTGATGATGGATTCTGTTGAAATGACACACAGAGGGGGAAAAAAATGACAGAGAAGAAGAAAAAGTTCAGAAAAAGAAACAGTCAGCAGAAAAAAACAAACCGGAAAGAGATGGAGCTCAGAGGAGGTGTGCAGTGTTTTTTCTTTCCCTTTTTTTTAGGCTGATATAAAGAGCCATCAGTCTTCAGCTCCAAATGTTCCCATCAAGTAAACATCAATAAATATGTATGAAGGGGGAGAGGGAGGCCAGGAGAAAGTGAGGGAAGCTGTTAGAAATCAAAGTGAGAGATGAGCTTTTATTACTAGTGAAACCATACTGGAAGAAGAAACTAAACCTTACAATACTGGTAGTAGAATCTAAAGACTCAAATCTGCAGAGGACAAACAGAAATCTGTAACTTACCCATCAAATATGCATCTGTCATTGGTGGCTTTGTCAACATCAAAGTCAACTCTGTTGTCATTACATCAATACTGATAATTTGCTTTTTTTTTTTTGAGGCAACGAGTTTCCATAATTTTTAAAAGTTAAAACCAACTATCAAATTTAACAGTGTTTGAATGTTGTTAGGGCAGTACAGCTGTTGCACCAGATGGTGGATTTAAAACAGGGACCTTCTTGCTGTGAGCTGCAATGATCAGCACTGTGTTGTCTCCCAACAAGAAGGTCCCGGGTTAAATTCCAACATCTGGCCAGAGGTGTTCTGTGTGTTTAGGTTGTTTCCAGGTACTTCGGCTCCTCTCCGTAGACCAAAGATATGCAGTTAGTGGAGTTAAACTATGATTCTAAATTGGCTGTAGGTGTGAATGTCTGTTTCTCTGTGTTGGCCCTGTAGGTTGTACCCCAACTCATGGTCTATGATAGCTGGGATAGGCTCCAGTCCCCCTGCAACCCTGAATTGAATAAGTGGACAAAAATGGATGGATGCTGTTAAACTTCATTTCAGAAGCTAACATTTTAATCAAATCGATATTTAATCGAACATTTTACTGTTTTCTGATTTGCTTTACTTTCCATTATCACAACTTCATTCATGTTATGAACTTAAATATAAAAGATAAGAGAAGAGATAAGATAAGATACGCTTCATTGTCCTCGTAAGCACAAACATGTAACGGAACTGGAAGCACTGCTGAAATCATTCTACTTGAATGAAAGAGTAATAAAATATAAAAATAAAGTAATAAATACATAGCTAATAATCCTAATGACAGCAGCTTTGACAATGGCACAGGTAGAAAGCAGAATAGATGATATCTAGAGGTATTTTAGCTATTGCACTTGTTCAGTGAATGCTTAGAGTTTAATTTGGGTGTTGAATAGCCTGATGGCCCAAGAAGCTATTCTTTAGTCTTCTGGTACTGCTTTTAGAAGGTGGCAAACTAAAGAGTTGATGGCCAGGGTGAGAGTGAACCTCTTAAACATACAGATTGACAACTCTTGTCCTTTGTACAATGAAGAATGGTGGAGCAGAAAAACATAAATTTCATCATTTGATGCATATAATAGTCTGGTTAGGTGCAACTTTAAGAAAAAGATTAGTGCTTATGTTGGGGCATGACTTTGCCTCATGGGCATACTGGTATAATTCCAGTTCACCTGAACGGTACAGTATGGCCTTGGAGGTCCAGGACTGTTTCTGTTTGGCTTGTTCAGCTGAATTTTATCTGCTCCTCTGTCCCATAAAACCTTCCTATTGACAGGCAGCTCCCCATCGACTCTCCCTCCCTCCTCCATATCCAGCCCACATTTTTCTTCCCTATGAGTATTAGTTTATTGAATAAGTGGCATCTGTTTTCCTGGCCCCATCACCGTAAGGCGAGGTATTTCTCAGTGACGCACAGCGCTGATTTATACGCCGCTCTGACTCTCCCCACAAAAATAAAGCTAAGCAAAAAATTTCCAATACATCCTGTGTCCCCCTTTTGCACACACATACACACACTCCACGCATGCTGTATATAATTAACTTGGCAGATGTTATACACACTCAAACACTTTTACACACTCTTCACTCTCATCCCCAAACTCCCACTTTCTGTCACACACAAATAGTGCCATGATGGAACAATGAGAGTCATAAATCACAGCAAACGCATCAGATTTGCTGGCTTCCTCTGGGAAAACAACAACAACTATCTGACACTTTGTCACTTTGAGGGTCATATTTTTTTCTTTTTAAACAAAGTATTGTACACTATAATACAAAAGACATTGATGTGGTGAAGTGTCATCTTTGTGCCAAAAAAGTATTTCTTTTCAAGCTGCCAGTAGGTACAGACCAAAATCTCGAAGCCAAATTCTTGACTGAAAATGGCATTTCTGGACATATGAGCACTTGGCACTTGCTACCTATGTTGATTATACACGTTATCTCTAGATCGTGCTTTGTTTACAGTTAAAATCATCGCCTTTATTCATTTAAAACTCATTTTAAATGATGCCGAAGTCCTTCTACCTTCTTTAAGGGCTTTGGTACAACACAGTTGCTTACAATGTTGATTGTAAGCTATCAAAAGATTTTGATCCCCTGAGGTTTCAGACATAAAGAAAAGTTTTTGGAGTCATTCTCAAACCAACACTGTGTCCCTTTAGTGTCAGTTTATCCTGCATTACAACAGCCTTGAGACAAACTGTCAAGTACCTAAAACCACTGTGTCTTACCGATCAGGATTTTGCGGACACACATGCATCTGGAGCAGGATCCTCTGGGTGAAGGTCTTGAAGCACTGGCCACATTTCCACAGGTGCCAGTCGCTGAACTCACTGCTAAGCTGGCTGGTGGATGTGGGACTTGCCAGGACTCTCTGGTTCTTTGACCCCAACTGGCCAAAACTGGAGTCCGACTGAACCCCAACCTTATCCAACAGGGAGAAACTCCGAGGGCAGGGGGAGTGGGGGAAGACCATGGAGCGCATGAGGGTGGAGGACGGAGTGGAGGACGATGAAGAGGACGAGGAAGAGGGTTTGCCGTTTTTGCTGAAGGACTGGAGGGATTCCTGCCTCGTCATGGCCTCCACCACTGTGGCTGGGACATTTACTGGACACAAGAAAAACAGAAATGATTTGGTTTTAAGTAGAAAAAAGAGAGTCCAACAACTGCCAACAACTGAGGAAAATGATGTAAGTTAATGTTGATGAAGATGTTCTTTAAAATTTTGACTTGGAGGAATAGCTGGAAGGCACTCAGAAGACTAGCAATGCTAACATGGACTGTTAAAGTTTTCAAAACTGCAGCACAGGATCAAACAAGGGTGCAAGACTGGAAAAATATTCTTGGCCTGAACACAAACAAATGGGTGAAACCATTTATTCTTTCAGGTGGCCCTTAATGATATCTGTCCCTATAGGTTGGATTGTTGTCAGTGGGCTGGGCTTAATAGATAAAAGTATGGTTTAGCTGTTTTGATGGGAGGAAAGGAAAGGAAAGCCAGAACTTTGTCCTAACTGAGACCAGAGCTGGCTGACCAGCCCGGGGCAAACTGCAGCTCCTGGTATCAATGAATGGAATTATGGGAATTATGTTAGTACAGCAACTCACTGTTTTCCTCTCAGGGAAGACAGAAAGCTGCAAAAGCTATGTTTCAGGGTCAAAAAATGGACCTCCAGCATGATGCTACTACAGATGAGTTTTAATTTACAGAACTACTAACATTTCTACTTTAAACTTTGCTTTCATTCCAGAAACTCAAACATTCTAAAATGTTCCCTTCACTAGTTCACTGTTAAATCCAGAATTAAATGTACCAGTCCTTTTCATATAAAAAGTTAGCCCCCATCATATCTGAAAGATCTCATAGTCTTATACTGTCCCAATAAAGCATTTTGTTCTCAGACTGCAGCCTTACTTTTGGTACCTAGAGTTTTTAATAGAAGAATGCGACAACAAGCTATCATGAAGTTCTCCCACAGAACCATCTCCAAGTTTAAATTTAGGAGACAGACACCTTCTTTACTTTAGAGATTATACTCAAAACTTTCCTTTTTAAGAAGGCTTACTGTTAGTGCTGGTTGAGTTGATATTGAAGCATCCTTTAGTTGTGCTCCTATAGACTCAAACTGCTGTGGGACTTCCCATAATACACACCCTTCCTTTTTCACTGCGCCTACAGAGCAGAGGTGAGCAACTTATTTATTGTTTTATAGAATTCAATTCAATTCAAGGTGTAGAAACCCACACAGATTTAGATAAAATAAGCAAAGGGCCCTAGAGTGATATTACTAGCACTAGCATGCTAATAATTGCAACCATGGTTGCAGGTTACGATGAAAATAATACATTCTATGCAAATGTTGGCATTTTTTGGTTACACTACATAAGTGTGTCACTTGAATTGAGATTCCTTACTATAACAAGGCCTCTTCTTGATTTTGTGGGGTTTGATGGTTTTACCTTTACCTTATGCTGGTCAGATTGACCAGACTCGTGGGCCAGTTCTGGTCATTGGAGCTTTTTTCTGATGTTGTTGGGCCCTTATGTTACAGTACAAAATGACTGCTTTGACATGACTGCTATATGGTGCTATATAAATAACACTGAATTGAATTGAATATAGTAAGTGCTTCAGAGAAAAAAAAATGAACACAGGAGCTGGCATAATAAATCCATTAGACCGATAGGAAAAACAGATTCTGGATAAAGTGTTGCTGGTGAATACAACAGTCAACTACAATGAGATTAACAGGAAAAAACACATTATATAAAAGTGTGTAAATTAGATTTTGGTTGATGCCAGCTGTCCTCACTTGACCCAGAAGTCAGCTGTGTTCTGTTTTGTGGTCAGACCAACTGACAGACCTGGAGTCCATAACCCTTCATCATGTTTGAAATTGCATTAAGAGGGTTGATTTACTTTAACTCACTGTGGAGGGTTTTGCTTTTCATTCTGTAAACTGGTTTGCTTGGGAAAACTTGGCATGCAGACTGGGAGGAAGGAAAACTATTGCACAAGTTATTTTACATCCTTAAACTTAACCAGACAAACCAGTAGATGCTCATAACGTGTTATTTAAGAAGACAAATAGCTTATTTTGTGACTTCTTTAGTTAGACTCATTTGGGTAATTTGTGAGTCCATTTTGTTATTATTATTCTTGGGTACATTTTTCCTTCTCTACCCACACACTAATGCATAAACAACAGTTCTGGCTTTCTTAGTTTTTCTGAATTTCTTCGCATCATTTCGATTGCATCATTTTACATGAGTAAACACCCCTCTCTCTGAGATCTGCTGCTTCAGTCGTCATAACCATTTTCCATCCCTCATCAGCTCACCTCTGCCATCAGGCCACCAGGCTCGATTGATCCTCTAATAACCTGATGAGGAGATAATTACACCATTTGTAAGTTGCCCGACGGTGTTATTGACGCCCGCGTTATACGCCGCTCGCCCACACTTAATTCATTTTGCAACCAACATTGCATATACAAAAAATGCAGGTCAATACGGTTTGGATTGCGTATGAAATGCATCATCAAAATGAGAGAATTATGCAGATGCAGCTGGCAACATTGCAGAGTTTGTATTTTCTTTCTTTATGAGGGGTGTGTTCTCTCCTACATGCCCCTCATAAAGATACAAATGGAGGAGATGCTGGTCTTCATCGCACAGAACAGAGTTTTAAAAGCAACTTCTGACACCTAAACTTGGAGTTTCATCTTCCTCTGTATTGTCTGCCTATCCATCAGTTCTGTGTATTCATTCAAACATTTTTCCATGTCATCTTCATTACGAGAATCATCTGAGGCCCTCTCCTCATCCTGTCCTCTTTTCCCTTTTTGTATCTCTCTCTTTGTCATTCAGTTTTACAATATATATGTTACAGCCATCAAAATGTATTATATCTAGAAGTTCCCCAAAAATAAAAAATAAAAATCATGAGACTCATCTGTCAAAGGAGTTGGTGTTATCTGTTTGTAAATGTAAATGCATTGTGGAACTATGGTGCTTAACAGTGATATAGTTGCTCTATTAAAGGATGAACTGATGTGTTCATATTCTTAGATAACAAATTAGACCACCTTATTTTGCAAACCTTCACCAGTCTATTTGAGATGGATTCCAGTCACTCCAAGTAAGACCCCAATTGTTTGGAGACAATATCCCTCCCACCAAGGGCCTATCCAATTACCATACGTTACGGTTGTTCCACGATCAACCTTCGGGTCACCAGAACTACTTGCTCTTGGTAATTGGCAACAACAACAGCAAAAAAAAGTAAGAACACTGAGCAACCATTGTTGATTGTGATCAAACTATGAAAGGACTCTTTATTTTGATCACAAGAGTTTCACTTCCTGCACACCAATTAGATTGTCCAAGTTGTCCAGCGCCTCCAGGACGGCATAATTAGAGCCAACATCATATGTGCCATTGTAAGTAGGTATGCTGTGTCTCTCAGCATAGTGTCAAGACTTAGGAGGATTGACAACAAATTGCAGTCAATCTGTCTGTATTAATCAGTGGAAGGACAATTATTTATTTATTATTTGTTAAACTTTCACCAATGTATTTGAGTGTAAATACAGTCAAGTCTGAGTCCGACTGTGATTGTTTGGGGACAGGCTGCCTGCTATCTGCGAGGCATCTGAGAAGGATTGCACTCCACAGACCATTGCCCTCTCCTTATCCGTCTCAACTGACTTTTCTCTGGTTTTGTTTTTTAATCAGTGTCCTTCTCATGACTAGTAACATGAGACAGTGACTGGAGGCCATTCAAGTCCTCCAATAGTTAAGCTCCTCCAGGGTAACCACACGTGCTGCCACAAGAAGATATGTTATGTCTCCCAGCATAGTCTACAGAATGAGGAGATACCAGGAGATGGACTGTCAACATGTGGATAGTTGGACATGGTCATAGAATTGAATATTCTCAGCAGAAGGACAGTTATCTGTTCCTTTGTGGAAGGAGGAACAGGCGGAGCACTGCTACAGCCCTACAAAATGACCTCTGGGGGCTACTTGACTTCATTAGGGTGTCATGAGAGACCAACATCCACGGATTTACATGAAATAAGTTAAAAATAATAAGAATATGCGTCAGTCTTGTACATTTATATCATACTGAATTAGCAGGAAGTTTGACTCTTGAGAGGCCACCGTTCGTCTCAGAGTGTCTTCCTCTCTTTACAGGAATGAAGTACAGTTCTGATTATGTTGCCAAATCTTTGCTGGGTAATCAATAACCATAACGTTACAGCGATTATAAAGTTTCATAAAATCAATGGAGGCAATTATAAGACTGGTAATAATAATACGTCACATAAAGAAGAGAAGTACGGAGGAGTTTACTGCAGAGGTGGACAAAATCAAAATCATTCTTCCCTCTCCTTTCTTTTCTTCAATCTTTTGCTTCTTTGACTCCTCCACTTTCCCTCTCATTTCATCCATTTTCCTGTTTTTTCCCATCATTTCTCACAGTTCTAGAGGATAAAGGGAAGTTGAAAAAACTAAATAAAGAGCAGGAGCAAAGAAAAGAAAGATAAAGCAGTCTTTCTGAGATGTTTCCTCGTCTGCTGGTGCATATGTTGCTGTGGAGCGTCAAGCCGACAGGCTGTGATTGGATGGAACATGTATGAGTAAACAACCATGGGGTGTGTGTGTTTTCTTTGTTGTGTGGTTTGGATCTTGATTCATCTTTAATGTGTCTGTGAGTGTTTGAGCTCTGCACATAAGCAAGAGTATAGAGAAATGTGTGTTTAATGTTATGTGCGTGTTTCCTGTTGTTTGTCGTTTGCCTTTGTGTATATGACTTTACTTTAAGAGGTCCTATGATGTTTTTATTTATTTTCTGTACTACTGTTACATACTGTGGTGAATGCTCATATTTAACATGGACAGAGTTCCAAATACTGATCAGTAGCACGTGTAACGCATTGCAAAGTAACACGTTACTGTAATCATACTACATTTTACAAAAATTCAGTTAACATACTAAATTCAGAAATCACAATACAGTTAAAATTATGTTATTACTTGGTTTACAAAGGGTCTTCAGTTATCTGCACTGCAGCTGGAAATAATGAAAGAAAAAACATCAC